CAAAGACCACTGGATAAAAAAGGAGCCGTCCCACCAAGGGCTCCAAAATTTCCCTCATTCCCATTCCTAGTTTCCAGTGAACACTCTTAAAAGGTACATATCTAGAAATTCAAATTAAAAAAAACCCAAAAACCTGTTTCTCAGCTTGCTCCAATGATATTATGGAAAAGTGTAGTGGTATTAGCTCCAACTCCAACCTCCTACAGTTTTCAAGACATGTGGTAGCTAATTAACAGAACATGGCTGCACTGTCCTCCTCACCTCAGGTGCCAAGAACCACAGGCCTGATTTAGCTCCATCCCAACTTCTGGGGTAACTCTGGCTAAACTCCTCTATATCTCAATCTCCTAACATTTTCACAGAGAGAGTCAAAATGAGGCTGTTTTCTAACAGGAGTGTTAACACTTAATCAGTAGAAATGTAAACTTATTGTTGACAGATGTTATATGAACAGGTTATAAAGACAATCCTGTACATTTATTTCATAATTAGAAATCTTCTATATTTTCTTCTTCTGTATTCTATTATTTTCATATTAGCATGAAAATAAAACTAGATTATTCCATTTCATTTCTCTAATTGAGGTTAGCATTAACTGATAGCAGGTTTGTGGGGCTTTTTGTAATTGTGCCTAGCAGAAAATCTACTTGTAAACAGGCATTTCAAAAATGATGTCTGGGGGCTTCCCTGGTGGCACAGTGGTTGAGAGTTTGCCTGCCGATGCAGGGGATACGGGTTCGTGCCCCGGTCTGGGAAGATCCCACATGCCGCGGAGCAGCTGGGCCAGTGAGCCATGGCCTCTGAGCCTGCGGGTCCGGAGCCTGCGCTCCGCAATGGGAGACGCCACAACAGTGAGAGGCCCGCGTACCGCAAAAAAAAAAAAAAAAAAAAAAAAAAAAAAAAATGGTATCTGACTGAATTACTGAGGAGGAAATCAACCCTTGCTTATTTTCTATATGATAATTTCCTTATAACCAATCTTTATGGTTCTATCTCTTTCAAGCTGAGTTCTCAATAATCATCTACAGATAAATGATAATCACTGGTTTTAATTGTTTCTAAAATATGCTGTCTATTTATCTTGTCTCAAGATACTTTTTTGGGGAAGTTGCTATGTAAAGTGAAGAACTCTTCCACCTCTGCTTTCCAATTAAAAACTGGATTGGTTTCTAGTTACAGCCTCAACCTTATACTATTAAATGATGTTAACATCCAAATCCAGTACACTCCTATTTCCCTTAACTGAAATAAATATTTAAGACAGAAGGATAAAAGCAGAATTTAACTTATATCCCCTCATATAGAGGAACTATTATCTTCCATTTTTAAGGTTTTTTTCTCAATATGGTAAGTTATCACAGAACAAAAGAAAACTATATGAACAGAATGTGGTAAGCTCACATTTTTGACAGTTGCTAAAAAAAAATTTTTAAAACAAATGCATACCTATAGGATAAATGTTATTTGTAAGATTAAAAAGGTGAAATCACAATTTTATACTGCCTTACAATCCATGAATATCTAATTAGTTGTCCAGACTTCCCATTTTGGAAGTTGGGAAATACTTGCACTTGGATGCCAATCTGAAAACAGACAAAAAAAAGTTTTATAAGACAGGAAAGTCCCCCTTGTTTGATTATGCACCAGGCTGTAGTACTAAAGTGATTACTGGGGGCCTTGGGGGAAAAAAATCTGTTTAAATTATGTTTTCAGTGCTGGAGCTTCAAAATGTCATCCTTTGCCACCCTCTGAAGATTTACTTTGGGCCATACCACAAACTAGAAAGCATTTAAAAATACACACACACATATACACACAAATATATACATACGGAATTTGCTTATCTAGTAAACTCAGAAGTTCCCTTCTGGTCAATACTTCTAGAATGCTCAAAATGAAGTGCAGATTCCTAGACCCAACCTCAGACCTCCTCAATCAGACTCTGAGGGTGAGCTCTGTATTTCCATTCCTTAACATTTAAATTATTCTAAAATACCCCAACCCTGCATGCAAATGAGAACAAATAAAACTAGGTGGTCATCAAATAATTACTTGCCCTAATCTAGTACATCTATCAAAAGACCTCTAGAGTTGCTATCTATTTTTTGTTTGGTTTTTGGTAATATATCAATCACTGCTCCCTAACAGTTTCACTTCTACCTGCCTAAGAGAACATAATAGTTACTACCAAACCAATCTTGAGTACTAGTCCAGCACATTTCTCTCCCCATAAAAAATGCACCAAAGATCCAAAGCCAGACTGGATATCTAGTCTTCAGCATAATAGTCACGAGTCCCCACCAAGGGCAAGACCAAAAATATCTCCTGAGCCAAATGGAAATTCTTGGCAATAAGGCGCCTCCTTGTAAGCCCTTTCTGGAGATGTGCATATTAAATGGATTACAGCAGTGTGTTACCTCAACAGGTTAACATAGGATGGTCATCAAATAAATCCATTATCAGCAGGCAGAGAGCAGGGTCCAAGAAAAATGAGCCATACCTGAAGCAACTCTTTAGAGAAAACAAGGAAAGTAGAAAAAGCCTTACTGGAACAGAGGAGTACTGAAAACCAAATTAGCAAAACAAACTAAATTTGCCTCCTTTACAAATTTACCTTTTCAGGCGGTGAAATCATTGACAAGATTTTAACTGAAAGATACATGGGTCCCAAATTACTGAAACTTTTTTGTTAAGCTCTCACACCTCTCTCCATATACAGGGATATATGAGAAAATGTAAGTGGTGACGATTTTATTGAAAGAGAATAAATGTGTAACAAAAGCCCACACCAAACTTGATAAACCCTGCAATAATAAATTCTATGGGTAATGGAATACTCTGCACCAGAACACACAGACCTATGGGAGAATTAAATGTACCTGTTCTTTGTACTCAAAAGGATTAAGTACAAAGATAAACATACTTTACACTATACCCTGTTCTGTTTGAAGACACTAGAAAATTCTACAGTTATTCTTCAAAAGTTCTGAAATAAATAATGAGTCCACCTTAAACCTGAAAAGCACCTCAAATTGCTAGGACCTAATTTCTTGTTGACTTTAGTTGTTGTAGTTTCTATTCTCCTTGTTAAAGGATGCTAGATAATGAGTGATTAATACATTAACTAAAATGATGCATTGCTAAACTGTCTCCAGCACAGACTGAAAAATCTGGTAGACAGGAAAGGATTAGAAATCCAATTTCCTACATGAAAGTTGAAGCATTGCTTCTTTTTTGTTCTCCTCTCTGGGGCTTTTCCACTGCCCTCCCAAATGTGACAATTTGCAAATATTCACATCTAGAGGAGCATATTCTGAAACTATTCTAAGACGGGAGAAAAGACCCCAATTTTAAGACTTGAGAATGTACTTTAATTCTGTAGGCACAGGTTCACCAAATCAGCTAGCAAAAATCTTGACCAACTGGGTGACTCAGCCTTGCTGTGAGTTTTTTTTTTTTAATTTATTGGAAACTTCTCGTTTAAAATCCCACAAACATGGAATCTCCAAGCTTTCTACCTAGAACAAAGAAAAAGCCTTGGAATACTCATTGGAAGGGATTTAAGGATTTGTATTAAACATATTCTATACCAAAGTACTAGATGGTCTCTAAGCTTCCTTTCAGCTCAAATCTTCCTTATTTTTCTTAGCAACTTTACCAGACTATCCTTAGAGCCTTAGTAATTACAAATAAAACCTGAATGAGAAAGAAAATTCAGAATTAAAGTTGTCATCATTAAGCCTAATTAAACAGGCAGGAAGATGGCAGTAGAATAAAGCATTCTGAATTAGGGACAGGGAGAATTACGAGTAGTTCGCAGTCCCATGAATGAAACACCGCATACAACAAAGTCTGGCTAGGGTTTAGGACATACTGGACAACGTTTCTGTCTCCCGGGTGGCAACGGACCCACCCAAACAGGGATAGATTTTGCCTTCTATTAATGCGACAAACTACTGATATCTACCTTAATTAAGTAACCAACCACCCGCGGGAAAACACATGTCAACTAGAAAGTGAACCCTCTCATTTTAGTGTGAATTCTCCCTTACTGGCAGTTTTCCTACTTTCTATCCCAAAAGGGAATCCATATACTCAACGCCGCAAACTGTAAGACATCTCACCCCTACACTGTGACTCTGGCACTTCTGGTCCAAACAAAAGCCATCGTTTTAAGTAGGGTGGGATTTGTTCGCTCCATTCAGTAAAGGGCTGTGGCTGTTAGCAGAACATCCTGCAGGCTCCTGCTTTGACTCTTGCCTCAAGTCACACTGTGCTATCACCGTGACGGACCCTTGATATTTAATGAGTCTTCGACTGAAAAACTGACATTCTCGGGAGCCAGGGAAACGAGGCTTGAACGCCCTGCGGAGTGCGTCCGCAACAGACGGGAGGGTGGCAATGCCGGCAGGAGCCTCCTCGGCACCCAGCAGGGGTGATCAAGTCTTTCCGCAAGTTTCTCTTCCTTCCACTAAATTAACCTGCCAAGCCCCCACCCCGTCCTATTAGGAAAAGTCACACTAGCAACTCGCTGAAGGACGGGGGGGACAGCTCCCAGCGCGCCACAGAAGTTGGGTTTGGTCGCGGTTTAACCCTTCCTGCCCCAGAGCCATGGCCGACACCCCCTTCACCCGGGGCAAAGCCAGGCTGCCAACTTTCCCGCTGCCCCCTCCTCTGCGCACAGCAGCCCAAACTTTGCTGTTCGTCCACCTGGGCGCGCAGCAGAGCTTGGGGTCCGACCGCACCCGACACCGCCCCCACCCGGGGCAGGCGGCGGCGCTGACCTTCACGCCAGCCCCCAGCCAGCGACCGCAGCCGCCCGAGCCCTCCCCCGAGCCTCGAACTGCCTCCCGCGGTCCCCTTCCACCGCCCCCAAACGCTCGCGGGAAAACCGCGGCGGGGGCGACTGCAGCTCGACCTCGCGTGTCACGACTGCCCACGACCCTCTGGGCCCCAGAGAGCACCGGTCCCGGCCCTGGCTCCTCTGGCCGCCCACTCACCATCCGTGAAGGGGTCCATTTTCCCCCCGCCGCGGCTCCTTTCAGCCGGAGAGCCCAAGCTTCCTACTCCAAGAGCTGAATCGGCCCTGCCGACTGAGCATGCCCAGCGCGGCGCCGAGGGCTGTCGGGGAGGTGCCGCGAGGGGCGGCGCCGCTCCGCCCACTCTGAGATCCGCCGCTCCGGGTTTTCGCTACAGCTGCAGAAAGAGCGAGGGAAACTAGAGGGAAAAGCACCACACAGGCCTTGGCTGACTCCTGGGAGAGGAGCTGGAGGAGCGGGTTAGATCTGGGGGCGGGTCCATGGGCGTGGCCTGAGCAAGCAACGCCCCTGGCAGAAAGGCCAGTGGCTCTGTCTTGTCCAGTGCTCAGAACAGCGGTCAGTCATCAAGCAAATGTGATGGCCAGTTGCGTCCGGCCGGGCCGGGCCCTAGACACCAGGAACCCGGCACCGCGCCGGTAAAATACGGTCATTGCCCCGTGGAGCAGACATTCCAGAGACAGACAATAAACTAACACAAGACACACGAGGCTGAAATAAATGCCCCGTTGAGCATTAAATTAGGGTGATGTGATGGAGAACGAGTGGGTCGCTAATTCGGATGTCTTGGTGAGAAGCCTGGCTGGGAGGTGCCACTGTAGCCGAGATCTGAAGGCAGAGTAGGAGGCTGCAGGCGAAGGTCGCTCCCCTGACAGCGAAGCTTCGCTTTCCCTGGGTAGTCCGACTCCGGAAGCTCACTCCGCCAAGGCTCGAGGGAGCAGACACTGTGGGTCGTGACTGTAGGGCTGCGCGCTCACAGCACAGTGGTCCCAAGCGTTCGGTGGCCTGGAGACTGAAGGGAGGCGGGGACCCCAGCGGAGCAGAGGGCACCCGGGATCCTGTCCTCGGGTAGCGGTTCGGGGCGCGGCCTCTACGTGCAGGCGGATCACAAAACCCGGCACTGGATGCGCCGGGGCCGCGGGCGCCGCAGGATGTGGGCAGAAGGCAGCCCAGCCGAGCCTTAAATCAACACCTGCGGCTACCCGGGGTGCCGCCGCTGCGGCCCGCGGCCAGGCCAGGCAGAGCTAGGCCGGAGAAGCAGAAACTCTCTTGGTCGCCCCCGCCGCACAGCACTCGCGCTCTAGCCTCCAGCCCCCAGGCCCCAGCCCCCAACCCCAATTGTTTACAGTGGCAAACCCGGGCAGGCACAGCGAACCTTCGGGATGAAATAACCAGGGGCCCCGTGAGTCCCGGGAGGCTCGTCGGAGCCCCGCTTCTTCATCCCTTGCTCAGCGTGCGCATCGCCGCCACGCTGCGGAGTTCACAGCCCTCCCAGAGTGCTGCCACCGCCAACTGTCCCTCTTCCCTCCTCCCCTAGCACAACCCTGGCCCCAGCAGCAGCTTGGCTCCCGCGATGCCTCACTGCGCCTGCCAACTGTCACACGCTCCTCCGAGGCTGTCAACGGGAGGGCGTCGGGTGCAAACACGTGAAGGCGAGCGCAAACTGCCCGGGCAAAGAGGGATGCCCGCGGTGCTGTTTGACCCGCGTGGGAATTAGAAATTAGGTTTCAAAGAAGTAAAATCGAAGTGCAATATTGTATTTTGCAATGTTGTATTTTTAAGTGCCGATTGTATTAAATCACCCACTTCCGCATTAAAACCTCCAGTGGATACCGATCACTTAGAATAAAAGCGAAACTCTTAACTCTGGGACCTTATCTCCTACACGTGCTCACGATACTTTGTCTACAGACGCCTTCTGGCTGTTAGTCACCAAGTTACATCCAATCATTCCTGTTGCATGTTCCTCGTGCAAGAACCGTTCATTCTGCCTGGTACCTTACCTGCCAGTTCCTTCTTGTCTTTAAGGTCTCAACTCAAATGTCATCTCTGCAGAGAGCTCTTCCCTGACCACACAATCGAAAATAGGTCCACACATGGTCTACTCTAAAAAGACTGAGCCCTGCTTTATTACCTTCACAACAGTCATCGCTGTCTAAAACAATGTTTTTGTTTGTTCTTTCATTATTATCAATCTCCCTCTCAAGAATGCAAGCTCCACGAAGTCAGGGTCATTACCTTCATAAAGGACTGTATCCTAATCCCTAGATAAGTACGCAATAAATAATTTGTGAATGGATGCAATGGTATTTTGAGTTCTAGTTGACGTGCAACGTTGAAAACCCTTCCAGAGAACATTTCTGCATTGAGTGGTGTGTTTGTGATCAGTACAGAGAAGATGTCTATATCATATGATACCTCAAAGCTGCTTTCTTCCCATTGTGTTAAAGATAATCAGAGCCTTTAGGCTGCCTCCTCAATGCCCCCCTCCCAACTTCAGAACCAAAAATAGGAAGTGAACCACAGGGGCTGGTACTTAAGTGTTCAAATATTATATAGTATATGCAGTGCTGGATTTTAAAAGGACCCCACACATTGTATTGCTTAGATAAAAGGCTCTTACCTATATTTTAGGTCATGTCATGTTCCTTTGGAGTTATTTTAGCAATCAAAGCACTTAGTATCAGAGATATTTAAAACTCCACAGCTTGTTAAATCCCCTCACCTCACCTCACCTGTAAGCTATAGTCTATCATGCTTTTAAATGTGAAACACGTTACCTTGTGTTTGGTCTTAAATACTTCAGTTCTATAGAGACTTGTAAAAAGGCTTCACCATTGCACTAGCGTATATAGGTGGATCATCATGTCTTTTGAGATTTCTAAGGCATAGAGACAAATAACTTCTTTATCCTCCCTTTGCCCACCTCTTGCCTCCCATCCCTCCTGTTCCTACACACACACACACACACACACACACACACAAATACATTAAGGACCATATAAAGGCTTGTGGGTTGGTACTGGGGGTAAAAAGAGGAAAGAAAATCAAAATGTTTCAGAATCCTACCTACCCTCAAAAGAGTGAAAGTGAATTTTGTTTTGTTTGATTCTGGGTTTTTATTTTTTGGATACCATTTTACATTTCACTTCATAAAGCCTTTTTGAGGGAACACAATATCACGAATTCACTACTGAAACCCATTATGTTTCAGTCTTTAACCTCCTCCTACCCTCCCACACAGAACTTCCGTTTTAGTTAAGGGCATAATACTTTAAATTATTATGAAATAAATATTTACTATCAGAGGAGATAGTGTGACATTATCTACTATATTCATTTACTATTTTCAGAATCTTTGATGTCTACCATTTAACATTTGAAAACCAAAAATTTGGAGGGCTAATTATAATATATAATAAATAGCATGAAAGGAAAATATGAGCTCCTTAAATACAGAACAGCATTTATTTATAAAAGAGCAACAAACGTGCTAATCAGTGAAAACAGGAACTTTTTTTTCATCAAAATAAAGCACTTCCTATACTATGGATCAGCTAACCCAGACCTCATTTAACAGAGAAGGGAATAGAAGTCTAAGAGGTTAAAGGATTTACTCACAGTCCAGCGGCAGACAGACTAGAACTCAGGTGGTCTGTGTTCTAAACCAGAGCTCTGGAGTTTTCTGTTTCTTCCCTATTCCCACAGGGAAATTAAGGTCAATGACAATAATCCATGGGAGGGATATGAAATAGAGAAATATAGCTAACTTCAGGCTACTGGACTGTTATTTCATCATTCAATTGATATTCCAATATAATTTACTGAGTTCCATGTCACATTTAGGTGTAGCATTATTAAATATGCTTTCTAATTATTTTGAAATAAATAATTAAAAATACATTGATTCAGTGTACACGTTTGAAAATGACATTTGTTCAACCCTCTTGAATAAATGGTGGATGCAGCTTGCTGCCAGGACACAGATGACCACCATGAGGTTTCCAGCCACTTCAAGGACTGGAGGGGTCAGTATCTCATCACTCCTGTAATATTTGCAGCACACATGCTCTGCATAAATTATGATGATTGAAATTGTATCAAATTAAGAAATGCTTAGAGCACAGAGGAAAGCAGAATAATTCTCCAACAGAGTTCTGGTATAGCTTAGACTTTAGCAAAAAGATTCAGCCAAATGAAGTGAAAGGTTATCAGGAAGGAGCAGTTATATACTAGCTCAGATGCTTTGGACTACAAAACCAAAATGCTGAATTAAACTAGTTGGAACAATATGCAAATTTACCATCTCACATAACAAGTGCAGAGGTAAGGCCGTCCCCAGTCAGAGATCCCCAACCTCATAAGAATCCAGCTTCTCGCTGTGTTCTCTCTGAGCAGTTTTCTGAAAGTCTGAGGACCGTGTAGTCAACAAGGTGGCTGTGTCAGGGAAGAAGAAAGAACCTTTTCTTTGATGTCTCTTTCTTAAGAGCAAGGAAACTTTTCTCAGAAACACCCTACTAGAACTCTTCTTAGGTTTCACTGGCCAAAACTGTAAGCCAGTCCCTGGAAATGAAAATGGGGTTCCTGTGATTGGTGTCTTAGACAAAGCAGAGTCTAGGATCACTTCCCTTATTTCATCTGGGGGAACAAGGGAGCACTTGGACAAAATCATTTTTATTATTCAGAAAGGAAAAGGGGTTAAGCAACCAAAATGTTAGGTAGGTCCACTTAATGTTATGAATACTGATATATTTTAATAATATTTTGATAAGTTTTTCAAAATCCTAAGACACTTGTACAGGAAATGTAAAGACAGAGCCCAATTCAATGTAATTTTTCATATGATTGATCAATATAACTAGGATTACAAACCTAGAAATGATATATTATTCAACCTTGAATTTTGAACTGAAAGTAACTACCAAAATGGAAAAATATCTTAGGCATTTGTATTAGTTTTCTAGGGTTGCTATAAAAAAATACCATAATCTGAGTGACTTAAAAAATAGAAAGCTGTCGTCTCATAGTTCTGGAAGTTGGAAGCTCAAGATCAAGGTGTCAGTGGGGCCATGTTCCGTCTGAAGGCACCAGGGAAAGATATGTTCCAGGCAGGCCTCTCTTCTAGTTTCTGGTAGTTCCTTGACTTGTGACAGCATAACTCCAGTCTTCACAAGGCATTCTCCCTGTGTGCATGTCTGTGTCCATATTTCTCCTTTCAATAAGGATACTAGTCAGATTGAAGCAGGGGTCCATCCTGCTTGCTCCAATATGACCTCATGTTAACTAATTACATTTCCAACTGTATTTCCAAATAACATCACATTCTGAGGTACTGGGGGTTATCATTTCAACATATGAATTTCGAGGGGACACAATTCAGCTCATCGTAACAGCATCTATATAATGGAAATAAAGAAGACAAAGTTGAAGAAAAATTTGGTTTCCAAGGACAGCATCAAGAAGTGAAAAGATAACCCAAAGAATGGGAGAAAATATTTGCAAATCATATACCTCACAAGGGACATGTATGTAGAATATATAAACAACACTTATGACTCAGTAATAAAAGACAAATAATCCAATTAAAAATGGGCAAAAGATCTGAATAAACATTTCTCCAAAGAAGATATACAAGTGGCCAATAAACACATGAAAAGATATTCAATATTACTAGCCATGAAACAAATGCAAATCGAAACCACAGTTAAGATACCACTTCATGGTCTGGCTAGACATAGGCATAGTATGGCTAGAATCAAAGAGCCAGATAATAATAAAAGTTGACAAAGATG